GTATGAAGGCGAGGAGCTCTGCACCGAGCCTCGGCAGAGCACCACTTGAGCGCTCCTAGTGAACTGCGTGACTCGCGTGATTACCTTTTATCTTGTTCAGTGTTCGGGGTTTAGAACATCGCAGATTGTGCCTAACCGCATAGGGTCTTAGGACCTATATCATAAAGTGGCTTGGGGGTGGTCTCGAGAAGTAACAACAGAAAATACTCAATTATCTGGTTTGTACTGGTCATTATGTGTGCCCCTCTAGGCCGCCGTTATGACTTTGAATGAAAAGCTAATGCATGGCGCATCCAATAATAGTTGTAGGGCCTTCAGCTTATTGTTACTTCTCTACCCTTGGACAACTGGCGGATCGGCTCCCACCCAAGGGCAAGCAAGCTTTTTAACCTTTGAGTACGGTATGCAGAGAAACTATAAAATTATGCAAGTTTTGCCCCTGCAAGTCACTGTAGACGCTATGCATGCAAAGCTGTTCGGCGTGAACCATTGAAATAAATGTCACTCGATCGAGCAATTTTTCTTGAAATGTTACTTTTCAGCATCTGCCTCTTATTCTGATCATGAAACGTCCAGAATTCGCAGAACTCGAGCTAAAACGAGCGCGTGAAGAACGTCGTGAAGCGTCGTGGTATTCGTGGAATGCTTCAGGCGATTCGGGCACATAGTGACAAGTCTAATGGTTCCGGCGACGGTGGAGCTGAAGTTCGTTACTTTCCCGAAATTAAGAAATTGAAAAACGAAATGCACTTTGCAGGTAGAGCAACAAGCGGAAGCCAACCGTGGGAACGAGGAGGTATGGAGGGGCTTCAGTTCTTGTCCTTGAAGACTTACCTGATAATCGTCTCTGAACTTTAGCCTGCTGATTCCCGTGCTGATGACAAATCAGGTCTGTCCAAGGAGGCCACGCAGGCCATCGAAGCAATCGAATACATTACACGTCATCTGACAAGAGACAATGACTACAAAAAGGTTTGCTCTTCTTCGACATTCCTTAGTAGCTCAGATTTGGTTTCTCAAAACACCTTGACCATGGATCAGCTCCGAGTCACAACAGGTCCGAATAGCAGTGCTATGCCTCTTTCGAAGGTTTATTTCATTGTCTTCAAAATAGCTATATGCACCTCATTCCGCTGGTCATACGAATGACTTGTGAAAATTGGAGAAAGGAAAGAGGCGTGGACACAGAGGTAAGGGGGAGGGGGGTGGGGGGATGGAGATCTGGTCACGCCTTGGTGTTCTTTTCGTAACCATGGCTTAGACTTCGTGCGCAGATGACCAGAGCCGAGGAGCGATCGTCGCGCAAAAAGCCGAAGCTTTGATTTGAGAAAGAGAAACAGAGGCGCCGAAGGGACCTTCCTCCCTAGATACGTCTTGCTCTGCTCGAATTACAATCACAGCCCATATCAGTCATATCTCGGCGTTGGACGAAGGATGGTCCCGGACTTAGTTGTTTGGTTGGAGATCCTGGGCATGGTACTTCATGAATTGGGAGTCCCCAAGTGGGAGGGGTGGAGACTAGTCCTTAGGAAAGACGAGCGGACAGGGCACATCGTTGTTGGGGAATCCCCAATAGGGGGGGGGTCGTATTTGGGCTGAGAAAAATTTATTTTGATAGTTGATTTTTCTCGCTTCACGGACGTTGTAAAAGGGGGGGGGTCGTACTTGCTCATTGTTGGGAGGGGGGGTCGTATTTACTTTCTGGCCTTTCTAGAAGTGGTGGGAGTGGTGGTTGACTTTTCGTGATTTTCCTGTTTCATGCGTGAGTACTTGCATTCGAATTTTTTTTGATTGTAAGAGCGTAGGTAGGTTACTGAAACCCTCCATCACAGTATTTCATAGCTATGATTGCTTATCTTTTCAATACTACTTTTTTGAGTGAAAATCGCTTTTCAGAAATGTGACGAATGGAAATTTGTGTCGATGGTGCTCGATCGTCTCCTGCTCTACATATTTCTTGCTGGTTCGTGACTTTACAGAAAGATAAGGGCATTTGAAAAAGTCGCGATCTCGACCAGGAAGCTTTGTAGCTGGTGGAACTTTTTCTCGAAAGGCTTTTCCATACTGCAGAAGTAATAAGGATAAAGGATAAAGCTTCGGGCGCTGATGAATCTTCTTCTTCTTGGAGGGAGCCACCAAACATTTTCTTTCTGGTTAAAAGTCATACCCGATCAAATCCCTTCCAAGCCGCCAAGGTGATAGGATGTGATAGAATGGCGCACATAACAAACGACAAAACTTCTGACTTGTGTAATAATAATGGTAAGATGGAGAAATGATAGGCCTCCGCTATTGCTTGTAGAGATCCTTCAAGCGCTGTTACGATTTCAAACAGGAGTGGAGTGCATGGCGTATACGGAGAAAGTTGCTCAATGCTAAGTGCTTCGTCTTTACTCTTATCCTTTACCCCTTATCTGTCATCCTTTGACTCTTCTGGTAAGGGCTGTGAAAAATTGTCCACCAACTGATGTATGTATTTCTGGTCCTAATGAATTCATGCAACTATTCACTAAATTTTTCTTCAGCGACACTGGGCGGCACGATTGGAGTGCTATTTTCGGCTCCAAATGTGTTCGAATACGTGGATCAAGCTGCAGTGATAGAAAAACTGAAGCTTGCTGCTGCAGCCGAGCAGAACAGCTCCATTTTGAGGCTCCGTATAAAGCAGAACAGCTCCATTTGAGGCTCCGTATATAAACTTGAAATCCCTGAGATGCGGTAGGCGTGGCTGCGTACTTGAGTTGAACGTGGCGGCGGCTGAGCTTTTCGTGAGATATTTTCATTTTGGGACAGTTTTAATCATGTCTTTGTCCAGCACAGAACAAGATGACAGTTGTCTCAAGTTGAAATATCCCACGAGTAACCCATCCTATGCCATGTCCAAATGCCACGCCTACTCCATCTCAGGGATAAGGAGTGTGCGTACTTAGGCCCTACACACATATCTCTTGTTAAGCGGCAATGGTTACTATGGCGCAGAAAGCGATCACGTTGACTTGAGGGGGAATGAGTCTGTTGTCGGATCGATCAGCTGTTCCGTAGTTTTCTTCAGTTACCTCCCATTACTGGAATAGTTACTTCGGAAGGGATTGTCGAATCGCCAATAGAACCTGTCACTTAGAATCGTTTAAGTATTTTTCAGTATCAAAATCTGGGCAAGTCTCGCCCAAAATAGATCCAGACCTGTTTTGTAATGCAAATCCTAAGTAACCTATACAGTTATTGAAAGTCAACACAGATCTCTTGAAAGGACGCACTTCCCTGTTGGTAGTATTACTTTGTTATTTTTGCTGTAACATATACGTGTTAGTGTGCATATCGTGAAAACAAAATAAAAACGTAAATTCATTGATTGTTTCTTGGTTCTTCAACAGACAATTCAAATACCGTATCGTCAGACTGGGACTCTTCCGCTACCTCCGGGAAAGGAAATGTCTCTATTCGTTGGCTGGC